CCTCCGTCCGGGGCTCCTACCTTCTGGATGTTGCCCTGGAAGCAGTAAACGCGGACCAGAGAGAAGTAGTCGTGCGCCAGCTCGTAGTAGCGAAGCGCGGCATCCATCTCGGCCTGGCTCTCCAGGTACTGGGCCCACCACCTCCACAGGGTCCTGCGAGGAGCCGCATGCGCTCCCTCAGGCCCCTCTCCTGCCGGAAGTGAGCCCTGGGTCCCACACCAGCAGCCAGGAGACATGGACGCTGGGTGGACGAGCCCGAGTGAGGTCCCTGGGGGAGGCCCCCGCCCGGTGCCCTGGGGACCAGCTCACGTGTGAGGCTCTGGGGGGAAGACCTCCCGGGCCCAGCCACTCACTTGTCCTTCATCTTGTTGATGTATAGCTCCAGGGCCTGCAGGTCCTCCGCCAGCATCCGTGGCACCTCGAAGCGGTGCGTGTCTGATTTCTCGTAGCTGCGGGAGAAGAGAAAGCGCCGCTCGCTCCCTGGTTCAGCTTGCAGCTCAATGGCCTGTGCACCCGACTAAGAGCTCCACCACTAGCACTGTCCGGGCGGCACAGGCCCGACCAGCGCTGAGGCCTAGAGACCCAGAGCCTGGCAGGTCCTCCTAAAGCACAGAGCTCAGGCCCCCCCAAAGCCCTCCCACCGATATGGTGCTGGTCCGGATCTTCCTCTGGGAACCTCTGAGGCCCCCTCACTGGGGCAGCAGAGGCAAGAGGTCCTGGCTGCCGGCCCGTGCTCACTAGCTGAGGGCCAGGCTGCAGTCCCCGCTGGCCTCCAGGTGCCGGGCGTAATTGTAGTAGGTGGTGCGCAGGTGCACGCGGTCGTGTCGCTCAGCCACCTCAATGGCCCTCTGCCACTGGCCCTCTGCCTGCAGGAGCCTATTGAGGAGGTCGTAGCGCCCGCAGTTCTTGTACAGATGCTCCGCGTCCTCCTGAGGGAAGGAAGTGTGCCTGTTGGCGCCGACGATGCCCCCAACGGCAGCCGAAAGTCACCAGGGATCCACCGTGGCAGGCAGCAGGGCGGCCAGGCCGTCAACCCGCCCACGACTGAGACCACAACACACCCTGGGTGGGATGGACACTTTGGGGCATGGGCCGGGATGATCAAGACGACACTGGAGAGGGCAGGCCTGCCCGTCAGCCGGTGGGTCTGAGCTCCACCCAGACCCCATCAGACCCGTGGGTGTCTGCTCCCGACTGTCTCCAGCCCGAGAGTGAGCTGTGCCCGGCCACTCGACCTGCGTCTCCTGCGACTTCCATCGGCCTCTCTGGGCCACAGGGGTACAAGGGGCCATGAGCTCCGCAAACACGCAGGAGGCAGGGAGGGGACTGGCGTGGAGTGGGGTGGCCTCGGGGGCTCTGCGGGGGGCTCCCTCCCCCCACCCCCATTTTGGCCTCAGCTTGTTTGAGGGGGTTTCTGTTCCCTGCAACCCAAGGGCCCGGACAAGCACACACTGTGCATGGGAGGCTGGCCTGCCCATCAGGGTGGTGCCCACTCACCAGCATGCCCAGCTGTATGGCCAACACGGCCACCCTGGCCTCTGGCTCTGGCTCCTGCTCAGCCTCCCGCAGCGCTCGGGCTCCACGCGCGTGGCCCATGTGCCCCAGGCACACCTTGGCGACATCCAGCCGCTGGGTCTTCACGCACATGCGTGCCATGTTCTCCCAGACAGCCTCGCTGCAGTGAAGGATACGTGGCTCCAATGAGTTGCCGCTCCCACGACTCGGGCCCCAGCAAGACCCGTGCCAGGCAGCACGGGGACCCGGCTGGACACATGGTCTCCGAGAAGGGGGCCGTGTGCGAGCCCAACAGCTTCACCCACAGAGCAACGTGGCAAACTGGGGCCCACATGCCCTCCCGGGAAGAAAACGGGTGAGACACCCATGTCCCGGGGGTGGAGGGGCTGATGTACTCCTCACGGCTGGTCCTGGGGCCTGCTCCTTGAGCAGGCTCCCTCCCTCGGCCGCAAGGGGTCCCGTGAAGACCCCGGAGAGTGTCTTGTGCAGGCTGCCAGGCCCCACCGTGCCCCTCAGTGAACACTTGTTTCTCCCCACTGGCACCTGGCACCTCTGTCCCAGGCTGAACTCCTAGTGCTCCCTCCACCCTCACACAGAGCCCCTGGGTCAGGCGGGGAGTGGGGTCCCCCAACTCCAAGGACAAGCATGACATCCAGGTGAATGGAGGCGGGGGTCCCGGGGACGGGCCTGCAGAACTGCCCTCTGACACCCTTGGCACAGGCTTGGGCCGGGGTCTTCCTTCCTTGTTTGGAGGTTTCTAGCATCTCTCTCCCTCCAATGCTGATGGGGGCTCCTGCCTGTCCCCTAGCAGGTCCCAGGACAACCTCAGACCCAGGACGGCCTCCCTGAGAAAAGATGCTGGCAGGAGGGAGGATGCTCTGGGGCCCCTCCTCCTGGGGCTTCATCCCCGGATGACCCCAGAGCCCTGAGGAGAACAGACCAGTAAGTAACTTCTGGGATGCGAGCGGCTGGTGGCCCTCAGGATGCGTGAGTCACTGCAGACTCCACCCGTCCGTTCTCAAGGAGCCCCTGGGAGAGCAGCGCGGAAGCAGGGTGCCAGCCACTCCCGACAGCCTTTCCATGGGCAGCTTTACCCCATGTGAGTCCTGGGGTCTGTGCATCCAACCGAAAGCCCATGTGGACACCTGCCTAGTCCCCGCCAGAGCTGTGAGCGCTTCCTGCTGTCTGGTAGCGTCTGCACCCTGTCAAGTGAGGGGCAGATGGGCTCCGAGCGGCCCGACTCTTGGGAAAGCCTTGTCCTCTGAGAAGCCCCCAGAGCGAGCCAGAGGCCCCTCCTCTTAGGCTGCTCTGTGGAGACCCTGGTGGGACAGAGCAGTGGTTGACTACTCCCAGCTTCACGTCCCACCAAGCGGCACACACGCTGTGTCCAAACCTCCCGTGTGTCTCTGCTCTAAGACAACACTGGTGCTTGTCCGCGTGAAGGAGCAGGGGAGGCCTTCACAGGGCCAAAGACCTGGACCATGGAGAACAGGAAGGGCCCCTGGGGTGGCAAACGATGGATGAGGGGGTCCTTGGAGGACTCGGTCATCCTGACTCAAGGTCTGCTCCCAGGCCGGCCACCCTCCCCCTCCCCAGCCCAGCTGTCCACTCCACCCAAGCCCAAGGCTGGGGGCTGGTCCATAGGAGCCCCAGCAGGTGGCCCGGCCTGCTCCCCGCCCAGCCCGGGAGAGAGCTGGATGGCCCAAGGGCTGTTCCCAGGACAAGCAAAGCAGGGACTACAGTTCCTGAAACCCCGGGCTTGCTTTTCAGCGGAAATTAGCCACTTAAAAGACTGGCTCAGGATAAGCGATTCTAATGAGTAAGGAGGGAAATCAACGCTCTTTTAATGGAAACTTTGAGGAAAACTTCCTTTTCGAGGCGATCTACTGCACTGTGTGCATAGGAGCCCCAGCCCTAGTCCTCAGAGGGGGTGCCCTCCTACAGGGTCTTCTGAGCTGACAGACCCCCCAGGTGCCTCCCCACCCACAGAGCGGCTGGAGTGAGAGCAGGGGGAGCAGGGGGCCAGCCCCGCTTCTGGCACAGCCGAGGAGAGAGGGAAAGTGGCAAGAACTCAGCTGACACGTTTGCTACCAGCTCTGGTGGGAAAAATCCAAAGGACATAAAATTCCTCCGGGAGCTGATGGACAGATGTTTCTTGAGAACCTTGATTCTCCAAAGACCGCCTGCCTTTTAGGAATGTAAACTTGGGGTGGGAACTTCCAGGGCCGACCAGTTTGGTTTCAGCACAGGCCGGGCTGAATGAGTCGCAGCCCAGAGGATCTGAGCAGAGCAGATGACTATCTCTCTGAGCGCCCCTCGGCCTGACCGCTTATGCGACACAGGGCAGGGCACCCAGTGCAGGACCTGGGCCCTTGCTGCCCACACACACCCCGTCAGCAGCAGACAGGGCCCAGGCCCTCAGGCCTCGCCGGGTGCACGGCTTGTCCAGAACCCAGCCTCTTGCACCTCAAGGACGATGGCCTGCTCTGGCGGGTCTCCAAGTATGGGTGAGGGTCTCAGCTGGGAGGTGCAGGAGTCCAGGGGGCCTCCCCAACACACTGGCCCTTCTCTGCTGTGCACCTATGGGTGCGTGGCACCCATGTTCTGGGGGAGTGACCGATGGCTGGGGGACGCCCAGTCCCCAAGGTAGGCGACTGGTCACCAGCGTCCTGCCCGCCCCGAGCCACCGGGTCGAGACAGACAGCGGGGCCTGTGGGCCTGCCAGGCCGGCATCCCTGGCCTCCACTTTCAGGGAAGGTGGGGAGGGCGGGGGAGGGTCCCGGAGCAGGCCTCCAGAAGAAGGCCCCCCTGCCTTTCCTATCAGGAAACACATCCTGTTAGTGTCTGGCTGCTATTTGTTGCAGTTGGCTACGCCCTCCAGCTCACCAAAAACAGCCTCAAAAACAACCATTTCCTCTCTGCTGAGAGACAGGGGGAAAACGCAGGCGCGAGGCACACACACACTCACTCACACACGCACGCGCATCCCTGCAGCAACCCATTTGCTTTCCAGGACCAGCTGTTGGGTGGCGGAGGCACTGGGCAGGGGCTCGGGCAGCGGAGGCCCCAGTGGCTCACTTGCGCTGCTCCCAGCGGCCCTGCTCAGAGCCCTGCTCCGCACTGGTCCTGAGAGTGAGGCCCAGGCACCCCGCGTTGCTGCCTGCCTTGCAAGTGATTTCTGTTCTCTTCGCCTCCTCCTCCTCCCAGGAAGACGGCGCGCTCACGACTCTGGACTCTCGCTGGTGCCCCTGCTTCCTCCCCGGGATGGGCAGCTTGGAAGACTTCAGCTCAGGCCTGGCCCTGCTCCAGGTGCAGGAAGGAGGGTAAGGAGGGCCGCGAGGCGGGCGCCCCCGCACCTGTCGCATGGGCCTTCCTGACGCCTCCAAGCATGAGCGGTGATGTCCTCTAGCCACCCCTGGTGACAGCAGCTGACCGACTGGGACTGGGACTTTCTCCACAACAAGGGGACGGCACCGCAGTCTGCAATGACTGTCCAGAAAGTGGTGGCCATGGCCGTGCTGGTGGCCCTCGTCTCTCTCATTCTCAACAACGCGGCGGCCTTCACCCCCAACTGGGTGTACCAGACGCTGGAGGACGGGCGCAGGCGGAGCGTGGGGCTGTGGCGGTCCTGCTGGCTGGACAGGGCCAGGGGAGGGCCAAGCCCGGGGGCCAGGCCCGGGCAGGCGGACACGCGGGACTGCGAGGCCCTGGGTTGGGGCTCCGAGGCGGCGGGCTTCCAGGAGTCGCGAGGCACCGTCAAACGTAAGTCTGCTTATTTTCCTTCCTCCTTTAAAGTGGCTGTGGATGCGGGCACATCTGCTGACGGGTGATGGGTGCTCTGCTCACAGGGGCAACCTTGGCTCTTGGGGACCCAAGTGAGCCCCAAGCTCCAAGCCCACCCTGCTCTGGCCCCTTTGGTACAGAATTCTTCCTGTGCAGGAGGGGGCTTTCTCTCTGCCGCCATGCATAGCTACAGTACGGATACATTAACCAAAGCAAGGAAAATATGTTTTTCCTGGTGGAAAATAAAGATTGTTAATGAGTAAAATAAACAAGAAGCTTAAAAACATGCGGCTGGGTTTGGACTTCATTCCACAGTTGTCAGGGTCGTTAAGGCAGTGGGCAGCACAGAGGGAGACGCTCCAGGGACTGCCTGTAAGTGGGATGCCCAGGAGAGACTGGGAGACTGATGGCCTTCAGAGAGCAGAGAAGAGCCGACTCCTGCGAGCAGGGGCCTGGCTCCCTTCTGCCCAGTGGTCCTGTCTGGTTTGTCACGTTCGGCACAGGGTCGATTACAGCTCTGAAAGGTGGGAACTTGACTTTGAAAGGAGGGTAGGGTTTGAGTGTACGGGAGGGAAGGTTCATAAATATGAAAACGCTTGTCACCTAATGTGTAGACACATGGCAACAGCAGCCGATGGGCAAAGTCTCCCCACTGACGACCCTTTAAAACTGCAGACAAGAGTCTAACATGTAGACCGCATCACGTGTTCTGAATACGACACTTGTCCTTAGGAAAACGTGGCTCCAGCCAGGCCTCTGCTGGCTGCTCCAGAGGGCACGCCTCACTCAACTCAGGCGTGATGGCCCTCAGAATCCTGACCCACGAGGGAATGGGAGTGGGGGGATGTTGCCTCCACTTCACAGGCAAAGAGACTGAGGCTGCAGGAGGCATGTGGCTCCGTTCAGGTCCCCGAGGGGACGTGACCCCGTCTTTGCATGTGGACCCCCTCGCAGCACAGCCTGGGGGTGTCTTCCATCGGGAGTGGCTGGCTTGCCAGCCCGCGCCCCCCTTTGCAAGCAGCGAGCCACAACCTCCCTTAAAAAGGGCGGGGTTTCCCTGGTGGCGCAGTGGTTGAGAGTCCGCCTGCCGATGCAGGGGACACGGGTTCGTGCCCCGGTCCGGGAAGATCCCACATGCTGCAGAGCGGCTGGGCCCGTGAGCCATGGCCGCTGAGCCTGCGCGTCCGGAGCCTGTGCTCCGCAATGGGAGAGGCCACAACAGTGAGAGGCCCGCGTACCGCAAAAAAACAAAACAAAACAAACAAAAAAGGGCGAAGAGCCTAAATGAATCAATGAGCTTCTGTGAGCATTCAGATCAGGGGCCTGTGGGGGGCTGGGTAGGTCAGCTGAACTTGGGTCTCTGTGATCTGCTGGTCAGACTGGTCCCTCTGGGCTCTAGGTCTGTCCTAAGGAGCAGTGAAAGCCAGTGACTGGGGCTCTAGGGTGGGCTCCACGCAGGCCACGCCTCTCCCACCCAACAAGTGCACTGCACGACCCCCCCCCCC